TTTTTTAATCCTATTTTTATTTTTAAAAGTAGTGGAAAATCCACAGTATATGACTGTCTTTTAATTCACACCAACTCAATAAAAGCATTTCTTGCTCCTTGATAACAACAATCCTTAAGTGTGAAAATTATCTAAAATAGATTTATCTTATTAAGAAAAATGACAAAGCCATTGTTGTTACAATGAAAGTATTAAAAAAAAATTATTTTCACTCCAGCTTATCTCTGCATCCATTATCTTACTGGAACCCAAGCATTTTTAGTTATTTACATTTCTACAGAAAAAGGAAGTCTCGTTGGCCTTGGTCAGTGTTACAGAGCTGTTCTTGTTCAGTGTCATTGAGTTGGCTGCTCATAGTGACCCCATGTCCAGCAGAATGAAAAGCCTCGTGCTCTTGTGCCACCCTCCCATTCCTCATTATGTGAAACCAATAGTTGAAGCCTCTCTGTCAATCTATTTTGTTGAAGGTCTTCCTCGTTTTCGCTGACCTTCTATTTAGCAAGTTTGATGGCCTTGTCCAGGCACTCATCTCTCCTGAAACCATGTTCAAAGTATGTATTGTTCTTGTTGTTAAGTGCCACTGAGTTGAGTACAAGTCATAGCTACCCTATGGACAATAGACATGAATGCTATGCCCTCCTCACTATCTCTGACACACTCGAGCCCATTGCTGAAGTCACTGTGTCTGTCAATCCACCTGGTTAACAATCCATCTCTCCACCTTCCCAAACATGATATCCATCTTCAAGGAATAGCCTCTCCTAGCACCATGCCCAAGGCTTTATCATCTGTACCTCCAAGGAGTTCTCTGCCTGCCCCTTCCCCAGAGTATGTGAGACGATGAAAATATCATGGCTTGGATGAGACACACCTTAGTCTTTAAATACATATCCTTGCTCTTTATCACTTTAATGAGATCTTTGGGAGATTTGTCCATTGCAATCTATCATTTGATTACTTGACTATAGCTTTCATGGCTCTTCCTCCTATACTGATGCTTTGTTCTTCATACACTATAGCTTCTTGGATTATTACTCAATTTACAGATTAAATAAGTGTCTTGAAGGTTTACAATACTCACACACCCCTTTCCTGATTTTCAACTACACAGTAGTATCCCTTTGTTCTTTTCCAATAGTTCCCTTTTGGTATGTTTACAGGTTCCAGAGGTAGCTCTGGTGGATGAGTGAGTGGTAAGGAGTTGCCTGCCAACCTAAAGGCAGGCAGTTTGAACTGGCCAGTTGCTCCATGAGGGAAATATGGGCAATCTCCTCCCAATGTTCTGCCTATGAAAACCTGCCTATGTAGCATCAGTTACAAGTTGGTTCTGACTCGATGATATGCAACAACAGCTTTCAGATCAGCCCAATTAATTGTCCTAGGATTTCTACTCTTTGCAATGCTTACCATAAATTGTTATGATCCACACAGAAAACTTTGCAGGTAGATATCTTTCTGGTATTACCTGCTTTCAGCCTCCTGACATCAGCAATAAATGATTTCATGCCTTCTTCTAAACCTGGCTTGGGTGTCTGGCAGATCCCTATAAATACTCAGCTGTGATTGTTGTTGGCTTTTTTACTTGTTGTTTTTATGTGCCATCAAGTAAACTGTGACTCATAGCAACCATATACACAACAGTTCTGAAACCTGCCCTATCCTGAGCCAGACTCACTATCTCTAACACGGTTATCCCCATTACCCCAGTTATGGAGTCAATCCATCTCATATGTGGTCTTCCTCTCCTGTACTGTCCCTCCTCCTCCCTTCCAACCATGATGTCCTTCTCCAAGAACTGGTCCTTCCTGTTTTTCACTTACTGCAACAAAGTTTTATTTGCTTACAATAAGAAGTATATTGTTGAATAATTTCTGCTTTTTTTTTTAATGGGCACAAGTGTGGATCTTTCCCAGTCATTTGTTCAGGTAGCTATCTTCTGAATTTCTTGGCATTGATGTATGAATGCATTCCATTGTTGAAATATCTCAGCTGATAGATATTCTGTCAATTCCTGGAACAGTGTTTTCCTTCAGCACCTGCTGTATAGCTTAGTCTTCTTCTTTGCTATCTTCCTCATGTGCGACCTCTTGGAATGGCTGAATGTTAACTGTTTCTTGTTGGTACAATGACTCTTCTTTTGATGC